TCTCCACCATTCTAGAGATTTGTTGGCCACCCATCGTTCCGTTACGGTCCCGATTAAGTAAACTTCTGTTTTTTTGAACTTCGAATTAGAAAAGGACGCGGCAAAGTAGAGTACTAAGACATATAAAAGAAAAACATTTTAAATTTATTAGATTTATCGATGCCGAAAAATGCTTAATTATCTTTCGTTCCTTAGTTTCGCTCCTGAATTTGTAACATAAAATTGAAAATATATCAAAAACAAACTAAATTTATGTACGGATTTATTATTCATAAAATATGTCATCATATCTAAATATAACTCATATAATTGTTCTTTTTTCATTTGTAATAATTAGTAGGTATTCATAATATTTATATTTTTTTGACTGACAAAAAGTCTGGGTTATTCATAAAATACATTATTTTTTCTTTCTTTTTTGGAGATCATTTTCAGCCCATTGGTTTTCATACGCTTTATGAAAACCAAAAATATTGTTCTTGACGTAAACTGCTTGTTTTGCTTATTTCATATAAAAGAAAATTATTACAAAAGTTTCAAATGAAAGCAGAAACACTAAAATTTGTGAAAATCGATAATTTGAATTTTTAAAATATAGGCTAGCATATTTCGCCTTGCACTGAAACTGTACGAAACCTCGTCTGCAATATAATGATATATATGACGAATATTATGATATTTCTACCTAGCTAGAAGTCCGTATCGAACTTCCCAAAAAGACACTTTATAATAAGATTGCTTCTGGAAATTCATAAAATAAATAACAGAAAAATTATAGGCATATTTTAACGACTTTATAGCATATATTTTTCTTGAAAGATATAGAGAATATATAAGCACACAGGACAGAAAATGTTTTTAATTATTTATTTATATTTATGCTTTTTTACTGAAACATAATAAGTAAATAAAAAATAATTATATACCGGGTGCGTCTGAAAAGTGGCTCACCCCTATAACTTTATTATTTTCTCAGATATAAATCGAAATTTGGTATATTAATATATGACATAAATTAGGATTGATTGACGTATTCAATTGTTTTCTGTCACTTCCTGTTTCACCGGAAATGACTACAACTATTGATTTTTAAATGGCACTCGCGGTATATTTCTGCTTTATTCGATAGAAAATGACACTCTGAATAGAATGACATTGTAGCGTTTTATTTTTCTTTTTATAAAATTCCAAATTTTAATATTGCTGGCGCCATCTATTCGCTAGATGTTAAACTTCATTCAGTACAGGTAGCGGTTCCTTTCCATAAAAACAAATTTCATTCAGAATAGACGATAGAGTTCACTTAATTGCCTTTGGTCATATGACCTGTCAATTGGAAGACTTCCGTTTTGCGAAAAAGAGGGAAGGAGGCTTTTTCCGAGAGATTGAGATCAGAAAAAGACGCGTGGTTCAGCGTCCGACGAATCTCAGAGAAAAAGGGCTTTCTGAAACACTTTTCCTAACAGTAAAGGCACGGGTATCCAAAAGTGGAGATTTGAAATCCTGTAAGAATATACTGTTCAGAGCCTAGTTCGTGTTTTTTTGGCCTTTTCCTGGAATAAGATCACAGTAAGTGTATCTACCATTTTGTATCGCCATGTCTAACTAAATTTTATTTCAGTTATTCCCGTTTTTTATTTATTTTGATAATGTTTGATTGTGCATTACTGGTTTGGATCAGCATATAGTTTGGCTATATTTTGGAATGTGTACAGCTGATTTTCAGACCGTAAGTTATTTTTTTTGGTATTTGGTGACTGTTCTGAGAGTTTTTTTATATAGAGTAACTGGCGTATAAGTAACTGGCGTATAAGAAATTGACGTATAAGTAATTGGCATATGAGTAACCACTTTTGAGACAGTATTTATGACTCTACATTTATTCTACTGATATCGAAGACTCCTGCTACTATCGAAGAGTCTACATCCACTTCTGTTAGTCTGGAGACTGCCTGCCTACCTGTTCACTACGTCACAAAATAAAAAAAAATTACAGATAAGTTCTAAGTTCAACACACAAGGTATTCCCTAAATTTTTTTACTTTGAGACAATATTTTGAATATCTCTGTGAATTGTTGTCATTTATTCCATATATTATAGTCAAAATTTACCTTTTAGTTAACATTATAAGTCATGCTTTGTCCTTAACGGTACGTTTTACTTCAGTATGATCTTTTATGTGAGAATCGCTAACACGGATTCATTTTTGAAGGGTATTGTACACGACTTGTTTCGAAACATCATCGTATTGGTACTTACATAAATTTCACCTGTTTATATATTACGTAGTATAGTATACTGGAGAGAACTTTAACTAAATTTGAGTTTACTTAAAGTAACTAACGATTTCATTGGGATAATTAAAACTGGGTTTAAACTGATTGATAATTGTGTTCGTCTTTAAATAAATGTTCAACGTAGGATAGTTATATCTGACTTTTATTCTTGATGAACATAATAGACCCTTATTGCTGTTGATTATTTTATTTTAGCTATTTCATGATCAAATTTTCTTACTGGTTTCTTACTTTACCTTTTCATACTCAAAGTAAGTGGCGCCCTTTTTACTGTCTTTGACCATTACTATTTGAATACTTAACATCAATTTTAGAATCTTTGCAGCCTATACATTATTACTTTTATTTTATTATTTAACAACATTATTAAGTCACCACAGGACACAAGCCTTACCTACGAACCCAGCTCTCCTCTGACCCTGAGCAACGGATACCTTTTTCTTTCTGTTTGAGTGATGACAGAAAAAGTCGTCACAACATATCGTGTGTCACCTTTTGACATTTTCGAATATGGTTTATTTGAAATGGCAACATGCGATTCATAACGACAATTTGACTCGAAATACTCCTTGGCTAAAAATTAGTGTTTATAACACAGCCATGGCACTCTAGATTGAAATTTAAAATTAAAATTTGTTTTAAGCAAAAATGTCAAAAGTTGACATATGATATTTCATTATATTTTAGTGATGTAAAAATTCTAAGTAATCGTTACAAAGTAACAGTTACTTTACGAGGACTCGAAGTAACGCTTACTATTTGAATTTAGGACTCGTTACTCGTTACTAAGCTAATTCGTTACTTTTGCGCCGGCAGTAATCGTAATCCCTGGAAATGCACGAACCGAGGACTCGAAACTCGATACTGAAATATTCCTTACTTCGACGTAGGTCTATATGTTATCAATATGTTTATGTTTAAAGTGATGACTTGACGCCGCGGCCGTCCAGTGTTTTGGATGGCAAATGTGTGATATTTTTATTACAATTATTATGATTGGCTCATGCCGACCCGGAGGCGGTCTGTCCCTTTGCCGTTTGTTGTCGCTTTTTATTTATAGAATAGAATTGTTTATTTAGATTAACATGTCTTAGGTATTAATTAAAAATGGATTCACGTTAGTCACAAAAAAAGTTAACATCTAAAAAAGCCGAGCAAATATTTTCCTTCTTCAAAAGAGAATAGATATTTCGCCACTTACACTGTAAGAAAATCTACAAAATAAAAATAGTAATTTTTAGCAAACACTGCTGCGTTAATCCAAAGGACTTTTTTGAAGAGATGAATCCGCCACAGAGGCATATACATTTTTTAATATTTTCACATTTTAACAAATATATATATACATTTTTTTTTGATTTTTACCCTTTAAGCTTTGTCTATTTATTAATGTAATATAAAGAGAGAGAGAGAGAGAAAATATAAATAAGTACTTTATATTTATTATACACATATTTTCTTTGTTTGATTTGTTTTCTTTTATTTTTAATTTTATTAATAGTACATAGTTTAATTTAACATATCATTATTAAAATGTTATACATATTATTAAAAACATATTATTCAGTACTTGAATACCGAGTATTGAAATTATCCTATTAAGCCCTTACACTAGACGAAAGTAGAAACCCCTTATAGGTTAAACCGAGCATGCAACGGAGATCGCCGCGCACAATAAGTAACGAAGTTCCACGTCAAGACCAAGTTTTCCAACCTGTACACAAAACAACGATTATAAAGTAACGATACTAAGTACCAAAGTAACGAGTAACTAAAGTAACGAGTCCGAAGTAACGAGTCCTATTACCAAAAGTAACTAGTAGTTACGACTCCATAAAAGTAACTAAAGTTTACATCACTATTATATTTAGAATGTAATTTTCTATCGAATAAAGTAAAAAAATACCAATGGTGCCATTTGAAAATCAAAAGTTGTAGTCATTTCCGGTGAAACAGGAAGTGACAGAAAACAATTGAATACGTCAATCAATCCTAATTTATGTCATATACTAACATACCAAATATCGTTTTTTTATCTGAAAAAATAAAAAAGTTATAGGGGGTGAGCCACTTTTGATACGCACCTAACATATCCTAATTATATTTATCTATAAGTTTAACCCATTAGGGACTGAATTTACAGAAGTCTTTATTTGAAGGTGTCTTTAACTGTATGTATATTAAGATGGCTTATAATAATAATTTTAACTATTTTTTGAACCACGAATATTATAAACAAATGGTTAGAGACTGTGTCATATATGGCACACTAGTACCTTAAGGTATGAAAAATAGACAGCTATACAATATAATGTAAAATTGGTTATATTTTATATTATGATAGTTATAATGATAATAATATAGTTAATAACTAAATACAGAAATTATCTTGTATGATAAATAGTAAAGCACTGAATACATAATCCAACATTACATTTGCCACATTGTGTCCTAACAGCGCTGGATGGAGTGTGATCTCCTGCGCATCGCCTTCGTTTGTTGTTAGGCACAAATTCTATAAAATGATTGAGATGATCGTATCTAATATCAACAGGTACTCTACTCTCTGATGAATAAGTCGAAGGACGGCCAGCTGATCTCGGAAGGTTTTGGTATTTTTTCAAATAAATTTGAGCAATTTCCCTTCGAAATTTTAACTGAGAAACGTCCGGATTATGCTTTCTGTATGTTATCCAAGCATTTTATATACAAGAGTCTAGTAACCAGGTGAAAATTGGCCACCACCACTTTTTGCCTCGGATTCCGATTCTGTATACGTTAATATTTGCATCCATTTGATCTGTCCCGCCCATAAACTCATTATATTTGCCAATACAGTATGGTCTTGGAATACCGATTTTCTTTTTCTCCTTGGATGAGTAACGTAGAGCATTTGTTACAGGTTGAACTCCATGCACAGTTGACGCAACTGTTACCACTGAATTGTCCATCCAGCGAGTAATTACAATTTTTTTGTCGTCAGTCAGAGCATAGTCGTATGTTCCTCTAACTGTTTTTTTAATTTGTTTTACAGGTTGCAACGGACAATTCTTAGGCACTCTATTTTCTCTCATTGTCCCAGTTCCATCATAATTTTCTTTCAGATGATGTAACAGGCCAATTGACGTAAATAAATCGCCTGGTCATCTGTTGTTACTGGCAAATCAGTTTTTTCTGACCACTGAACGCCTTTTGGATTTTTTTTTAATAAAGGCGGAAAGAGGTAAGTAGTCTTCTTCATCAAAATCTTCATTGCGGTGTGTGGTAGGCAATATGATGTCACTATTTTCGTAATCTGCATTTCCTATTCTACTTCCGCTTTGAAACACAACTTCTGCAGATGCTTGCAATTGTCGACCAGATAAATTGTCTAATAAGCCTCCTGACTCGTCTCGCGAGTTTTCATCAGACTCGTCTCTAATTTCTGGTGGTTCTATATATACTCTGTCAACAACTTCGCTATTTGCATCCTCCCAAAACTCTTCGGTTTCAAACAAATCAGCAATATCTTTCACAGTCAAACTGAAATAAAAATACATTTTTGTACTGATCCATACACACTTGCATATGTTACACCGACAAGAACACGCTAGATACAAACAGCTGGATTATTTTGTTATCATAATTCCTCTACCAACATATCACTTACATCTCACAAAAGAGAAAAACCTAAAAAAATATTCGAATATACAAAATAAAATTAAAATAAATAGCTTACTTTTTACTGGAACCCATTTTATTTTGTCACTTGAAATGCACACAAACTTTACGCTTTAAAAATTCAAGAACCACTAATTTTTAAAACGATTTTCTGGCACACATGGATAACCCACATATTACTCGACCTAAAAACGTCAGAGGGTGGGATACTAACCGGTTCGAAAATATATTACGCGCAATTATGTATACGACAGATCAGCGTACCTTATATGGTACGCTAGTACCTAATGGGTTAATTCTGGATCCATGTATCGAGATTTACATGAATATTTCGAAATTCTATTTAATATAATTATTGGTCTTTTGTCATTTCATTTAGTAGTTTTTTAATAACAAGTAGGTATTAATGTGTTGGTAAAAAAAGGTGTGGGTTGTACAAAAAGTACATTTTTTCTTTGTTTTTGGAGGTTTACATATTTTTAATTATATAAATAAACATTCTTTTCTTCATTTTTCTATAAACAAGATTAAGTATATCTGCTTAACAGAGAAATACCTCCAATGTGTATGGTCTGTGATGTTGAGTTGACAGTAATTCACATTATATGTGAATGTCCTCAATATACGGTAGAAAGGAATAGATTCGATATACGTGGTGAAATTCGTGATGATTTAACTGAAGAAGAAAAAATTAAAAATATTTTGAAATTTATGAAAGATATTAATATATACCACCAACTGTGATGCTCGTCTGTGGATACTCAAATCCAACTGTGATACTGTGATGTAAATAATTACCTATTTTACTTATTGTTTGTTTTTTGTTGTCTATTTTTTTTGTGTTTAGTTTTTTATCCTTTTGTCACTCAATTTGAAATGTGTATGTCAATGTAATTTTATAAGTTTTGAATTGCCCTTGTAAGATTGAATCCCTTGAGGATATTGAGATAGGTCCATGTAATTGCATTATTGTTAACAATAACAAGTTGTATATGGCTAATGATCCTGGTGATCGATGCCTAGGAAAAAAAAAAGATTAAGTAAGGACTAAGATTTAAGTAATTTGTGCGTTTTGTTTCTATTCATATAAGTGATGAGTTTTAAATACATTCAAATATTTTCAGGGATGGCAGATCTCGATAAAAAAACAAATATTTTTTCTTTACCCTTTTTTTAATTTAAGGCCAAAATATCGGAGTTGTTTTACTTTGAAAATTAAAAAAAAAACTTATTTTTTGTTCAAAATTTTGAGAATAGCTGCATTTTTTCTAGGTAATTCAATCAATTATTATTCAATTTTCTTGTAAATTCAAACTACTGTCTATGTTGTCATATTGTCATATTATAGAGAAATTATGTTTTTTAACAAAAAATAAAAAAAAAATCCAAATTTTCTAAATTAGAAAAAAAAATTGTATTTTTTACTCTCTTAGACGTATTTTTGGGGTCGAAATAAACTACCCCTCAAAATATATGCACTGATTTAAGACTCACCCTATATAAATAGAGACATGTTGTCTTTATTATATTGAATAACATTTCGCCTTGCACTGAAGCAGTAAAAAACTTCGACTGCAATATAATGATATATGACGAATACTGTGGTGTACCTATCTAGAAACGTCAAATTTCCGAAAACGACACTTTATAATAAGATCGATGAAATAAATAAAATAGATAGCAGAAAAATAATACATGCAGTTGAAAGACTTTATAGCATATATTTCTCATGAAACGTATAGAGAATACATAAACTCCGGAATAGAGCAGGCAATGTTCCTTTTATTTATATTTATAATTTATTCATTACTATAGTTGGGGGTTGGAACCTTTGTTGTTATAACAGCAAAATAAACCACAATACATCAAAACACTTTATTCCTAAACACTGGATGCGTCTTTTGCTATCGATGTTAGCATCATCAGCAGATGATTAAAATTGAGTTATTTAAAACTAATTTTAGTCATCTGTTGATGAGGCTAACATGGTTAAGAAAACGCGCGTCCGGTATATAATACTAAAGTGTTTTGGTGTATTGTGGTGAATTAGTGTTTTATTTTACTATAGTTTATTCACTTACACATACTAAATAAAAAAATAATTATGAATCTACTAATTATATTTATTTAAAAGTTTAAATTTCTTTTCATATTGAGATTTAGATGAATATTTGGAAATTGGCATTACGTAATTGAAAATATATCTAATTGTATTGCCTCGCCAACTTCGATACTGGAAATACCAAATCAATGTTAGATATGGTAAATAAAAGTTTCTAGTTTTAGTTATTTCGAATAGTTTCAATAGAATTAGAATTCCTTTTTTAGTTTTGAAAAATAAAAGTTTATCATTAAATGTTCAGTTCTTAATAGTGGGCTCGGGATTACGGTGTTTCTTTTGTAACTTTTTATACAAAATATCGCATTTAGTGTGTTTTTGATAGTCTTGTAAGTAGAAGGATAAAAGGGTTTTACCATCAGAGGAGTCAGAGGGGCAAAGAGCACGAAGTGACGTAAAACGTTAAAAAAGAAATTAAAACCGGTTATCTGTTTATGATTTTTTATTTTTTTTTGTTTTTAGCGATTTTTTATAGCCTCAGCGTGTTTTTTCGTGTATATATGCCGTTTTATTTACTGTATAATGTTTTACGTCACTTCCTGCCTTTTTTTCCTCTGATTCCTCTGATTTTGAAACCAAATTCTCTCTCTCTCTCTCTCTCTCTCTCTCTGTGTAGAAGAAGGAAACCTATATTGTCACAATGATGTTCTTATATTATTAATGCATGTTTGTGTCATCAGGATCAGATTATGTTTTCAGTTATACCACATTAACCGTTTTTCATTGAAGTAATTTATATAAACTAATCAAAATGAGGTGTTTACAATTAGTTACTTTAGTTTACTTTTTAGTTTTATACAAATTTCGCTCTAAAATAAGATCTAAAAAAACATTAATTTAATCGGTCATTTGGGAAAGGTGGCATGTCCACTTTTTCAAATTTTACAGGAGAGACAAAAAACGTCTCAAATAAGTATTTTTCAGAAAAATGTTGTTTTAAATTTCTTTTATGATAATAGGAGGTAAAAATTACTAGATTAACTTAAAAATTTTAGTTTGTGATATACAGGGTGTTTGAAATTTATCCTTTTTTAGTTTTGAGATGACCCGTTTTCAAAATGAACCAACGAAAAAAACTCAAAAACCAAACAAAACTGACATATTTTAACGAAAATTTTATTGCTTTGTTAATAATACAAATACTTAAACTACAACAAACACTGAACAAAAAATCCTTCGGAAACACATTAATATCCTTCCTCTGGTGGCTCATCTGCATTCGTAGTAAGCCGCTCACAGATCTCATCGTAAAATGCTTTAAAATTTTCTGGGATATATTGAAGAATTGATTTTTTTCTCATTGATATGTATTTTTCCTTGATACGCTGGGTTGTTTTGACAGTTAGGAATGACCAGAGGTGGAGTATCATTCTGCATAGTCTTTGCAAGAAGAAAGCGTTCCTCCAACACGTTATCGATGTACGGTTTTCCGATTACAACGCTGAGTTCAACGCTGATTATAACGCTGGGTTCTTTACAATCAAAGGTAAACTCATAATACTGATTAACTGCAAAATTCGCCTTATTTTCTTTGATTCCATATTACTTTTTATTCGAATTTGTTTTTAGTGGACGATTGAACGATTAGGTCTTCATATTCTTGGGGATTATAGATACGGTCGTAGCGCCGGATTTTTCTTTTCACCGTAGCAAAATATCTGTCGCAGTCGTTGAACGAATGGCGACGTTGTTGGGGAAAATAGATTGATACTTTTCTAAATCTTCCTGTAATAACAAGAGCCTGTAGAAACCGTATTATAGTATTATTCCTGTTTTGGATAGGGCATCCATCACAAAAATGGTATAGCTCTTCAACAATGTTAGATATTAAGTGCGTTGATAGATAATCGTGTAAAAATGAGCAAACTTCATCTGGTCCTTTATGCGCCTCGCCTTCGTGATACGAAAAGAAAGTAGCTTTTTCGGTGCTAAAGTTGTGGATACAAAACTAATTTACCTACAATTGCCTGTAATAGAAAATTTCTTGGACAGGTATACAAGGAAGAGGAAGGTTTTGCATGTAGTCGAAACATAAGGCGATAACTTTTTCATTTTTCTTGCATAGGAATCTAAGCGATTCAATCTTTAAAAAAATTTCTTAGCTCTTCTTTCGTGGACAATAAGTTCTGCAGATACCACTCGCTTCGCTGTATCATTGAGATGTGGATCTTTAAGTTTTGTTCCCAGTTCTTCACATTTTGAGCAAACGTCTATGTGCGGACGCCCGAAGGACAGATTAAAGTTTTCTTGAAAATACCGCAAAATTTTTTTATCGTTTAACCAAACTAAATAGAA